TCATTCTCTTAAAGGTGTCATTTACAGAACAGAAAAGTTTATCTTATCAATTATTTCTTTGACAGGTCATGACTTTGTGTTGTATCTAAAAAGTCATCACTGAACCCATGGTCATCTAAACTTTCTTCTTTGTTATTTTCTACAAAGTTTGTAGTCTTGTGTTTTATATTTTAGGTCTATGATATGTTTTCAGTTAATATTTGAAGGATGTGAGGTCTGTATCTAGATTTTTTTTTAATGTGAATGTCCAGTTTTTCTATTTATTGGCAAGACTATCTTTCCTCCACTGTATTGCCTTTGCTCCTTTGTCAAAGATTAGTTGAGTATGTTTGTGTGGGTCTATTTCTGGGCTCTCTATTCTGTTCTGTTGATCTATTTGTCTATTTTTAATTAATACCCACACTGTGTTGATTACTATAGCTTTCTAGTAAGTCTTAAAGTCAGGTAGTGTCAGTCCTCCAACTTTGTTCTTCTTCAATATTGCATTAACTATTGTGGATCTTTTGCTTCTCCATATAAATTTTAGAATAAGCTTATCAATGTCCACAAAATAACTTGCTGAGAATTTGATTGGGATTGCATCAAATCTACAGATTAAGTTGGAAAGAACTGATACGTCCACAATATTGCATCTTCCTATTCATGAACATGGAACATCTCTCCAGATATATTTTTTTTAAGTTTTAAAAATATATTTTTACCAGGGGCAATCTATGTTTTATCACTTCAAAGTTAAAATGTCTTCCAACTTCTATATTTTTACTTCTTGACAGCCTTCCCAGATAAATATTCTATATACCAGTTATGTGGCACTAGCTTGTCTGTGTTCCCAGAGGTCAGGGGCGTTCTTTCCTCCAACAGTCCTGGTGTCAGTATTCAGTAATGCAGAGGCTCAGAGAAGAAAATAGAGCATTTAAACAGCATGCCAGCTCTGTCTACATGGACTAGTTGTCTCTTTTTCAAGCTTCCACACAATTTCTTCTTCCTCACATGCCTCAGAGCTATACCAGTGTAAGATTTCCCTTAACTTCCCTCCTTTCATTTTAGGAGCTGGTAGTTGATGACAAGACCATGTAATGGTCACTTTCGGGCCTAGGCCCACTTGGGATCTTTTTCATGTTTTGTTCAGGCCACTTGAGGGTAGACTAAGCTCACTTAAGGCAGGGACAAAGCTAAATTTCTCTAACAGTGTACAGAATTCTAAGCGGTGGTAGCATTTTTGAAAACTGAGAAGCACTTGATTGTCACTTTGCCTTATTCCTGTTACTTCACATGTGCTTTTATAATGTGCTATGTAAAGCTAGATCACAATGTTTTCTATCCACAAAGCTCTTCAGTTGTGGGAGAGTGTTACCCTGAGTCTGCACTAATCCTGGTAATACAGGTTAGTTCTTCTCTCCCTTGTATCACCTCCCTGTGTCAGAAACATTTAGTAAAATCTGCGCTATGATTCTTCAGTCTAGTTAACCCATGAACAATGTCGGGGTTAGGAGCACTGAACCCCCACCCCCGTGCAGTCAAAAATCTGCGTGTAACTACTGATAGCCTACTACTGACCAGAAGCCTTATGGATAAAATAAACACGTGTTTAACATACATTTTGTATGTTAAATGTATTCTTACAATAAACTAGAGAAAAGAAAATACTATTAAGAAAATCATAAGGAAGAGAAAATACATTTACAGTATTTATCGAAAAAAAATCCACATCTAAGTGGACCCATGCAGGTCAAACCTGTGTTGTTCAAGGGTCAACAATGTAAGCAGCCTGAAAACACTCTTGCAGATTGATCCTTTGCACAGCTTTAAGCTGTGTTCTGACAAGTCTCTGGTCATCCCAACCACCCTCCTCCCTTTCCAGTTGTTTCACAGCCTTCTACACACACACACACACACACACACACACACACACACACACACACACACACAATTTCCCTCCCCTCTCCCTCTCCATCTCTCCACACCATATTCATGGAATCTATACTTGAAAGAATAGAAGGATAGATAGGGTAGGACTTCTATTTATATTCTGACAACTCTCTCTTACTATTCCAGTCAGTACTAAACATCATCGGCTAAACCTGGATAAACCTGGAAAATGGCACAATACTATTACAATATGTATTATGTCCTTCTCTAAACAAGGAAAGAAAAACTTAGAAGGGAAGATCAGAACAACAATGAAGTTTTAAGATAAAAAAAAAAAGGAAAGTAAATGACATAGACAAAGATGTCTATGTCTATCTTACTCGTTTTCAAATTTTGAGTTCTATAATTTAATAGCAACTTGGGATATACATTTTAATTAGATTCTCTAGTACATAGACAAGCTATACATTCCTTACCCCATTCTAGAGCCATGTAAGGTGAGGTAGTGGGAATTTGTGGGCCCTAAATCAACCCACTAAGCAGCAAAGTTAAGATGAAACCTCCACAGAAGCACAAACATTTATGTGTAATGTTGTCATTTAGAGGGGAACGAAAGAATGCACCTTCTTAACACAGGTCTGGCAAATTACTGGAAGCCTTAAAATCTAAAACAGCTGTATCATTCCAGGACTGGGAGCTGTCACAGTTTCCCAGGGGCTCTAGGGGAACGCTAGAGTTTTGGAAAATGGAACTGCTGATTCGGGAATACCATTCCTCTGAGTCAGTAACCACACCCACCCCCACACCCAGGACTTTGCAGATGTGATACTGAGTTTGCTGCAGAGCTGGGGTGCCTGGACCCCTGGAGAGGCAAACTTTCTTGGCACTTTATATGTTTTCTCAAAATATTGTAATCCAAGTGCCATATTAATTTGATTAAAATTCACTCCTGAAACTTCATTTTCAAAGAAAGCTGATTCTCTTCCATGAATTTTGATGAGGTCTTCCTGGCAAGCCAATCTCATGGTTTATTTAATAAGGGTATGTGATTCAGAAAGTTACTTTTCTATAACCTCCTCATCCCATCATGTTAAGTAAGAGATTAGTTTTCAGCCTATGAATTTGGGGGGGCGGGGGAAGGGGGAGAGCACCACAAACATTCAATCTATAGCAGACTTCCATAACCACAATATAGTGATCAAGATAAGGAAATTTAATATTGATACAATGTTTAATACAAAATTATATTTCAATTGTCAATCACCCCCCAATAATGTCCCTTTTAGCCGCACCCCCACTCCATCTAGGATCTGAGCCAGGATCACGCATTGCATTTAGTTGCCATGTCTCTTTAGAAAAAAGTTTTTAACCTAATTTAGATGACCAAGGATCTCAGAACCAGTTCTTGCTATGATTGCTCTGCAGAAGAATTCTGCAAAATCAAGATTCATAAACTAGATGATGGAGAGGTCCATATCCATGGCTTAAGCCAACTTTTGCCAGTGCAGACATGGTTTTACACGGCTGCAAAGGAAGGAAAGATGCCTCTCCTCTATTACCCTCCATCATTTCAGGGCCTCAAGGAAGAGACCTGTGCTCATCTCTTCTATCTTCCTCCATGAACCCGGAAGTTATTTCCTATTGGTCAGTTAAGGGAAGCTAATCTGCCGTAGTGGATGGAGTCATGAAGGAAGAATCACCAGCCCTAGGATGTAGTTCCCCTCAGGGCTCTCCTGGTCCCCGCACTGTGTCAGTGGAAGGCCTGACCATCCCTTGGATCTGTGTTGACTTCTTATTCAAGGAAAAATTCCTGTGAGGGAAGAGGAGCTGGGAAAACTGCCAGAAGTAATTAAGAAGAGTTCAGCTATAGTTTGAAAGCAAATGCCTCAGCAGAAATGGCATCCTCAGTCTAAGAAGATCCTGAGGTGAAAACAAAAGCACAAACCCAGGAAGGAGGCCACTGCCATGGTTAGAGCCCCTTCCTGGAACCACCTTGAGGTCGACAGCCTAGGGAAGCTCTCTCTGCCCTGGGAGGATGCTCTCCTCTCTTCCTGCCTCCACACTGGCTCCCACAGCTCCTGCCCCTCTCCCCTGCTGCTTGTCCTGACCCATGCCTCCCACCCCAGAGGGGTTTTATAGTGAAAGGGGCGGTCGAGTGAGGAAGCAGGGGAAGCAAAGTCTGTCCCCGCTGACATTGGAGGACTTCCCGCCCACCTTCACCCTGCTGCCGTCATCCATGTTCTTTCCCTTGGCCATGCACCTCCTCCGTGCTGGCCCCAAGGGCTTTGAGCTCTCTCCTCTGCCTCCTTCTGGCTCCTCAGCCTCTCACCGCAGCCCCCTCACCCTGGTCCAGTTCTGTCCTGGTTTCCCTCGAGTCCACTCCAGCATCTTCCTCTTCAGCCAAAGGAGTGGCACCGATGGCTTAGAAAGTGACGAGGCAGGGATTTCCAGAACCCCAATTAGAAACTTTTGAAAACATTTTTTTTTTTTTAGGTAAAAATGGTATATAGGTACGTTATAGCTAGAACACCGTTCATCCTCAATGTCAGATGTATTATGACCTAAAGTTCTCATCCATGCACCTGGTTACCTAAGTGCTCATATAACATAGTTGCTCTAGGAAAAAGCATGTCGAGTTCCAGAAAACCTCATAGTACACCTTATGCCTAATCAGCAGTCCCTACTTTGGAGTTGCCCCTGTTCCTTGTAAACTTAGAGGATAACGTTTTCTAGATTGATTGTGTTCTTTGTGATATGTATATTTATAAAATTTCCTCATCAACTGAATTTAACCAGACAGGTAAAAACAGAGCAACTTTAAAACACTAGGAAGGTTCATTTCACGAAGGCAGTCTATTTTTGTTTATTTTTACAAATTATCATTCTGATGTTCCAGTGTTCCAAACAAATGAGTGAAAAGAAAAAAAAAACCTGCTAAATTGTAATGTAAACCTTCAGTACTGTTGATGGTGATCTCTAACTCAAGCTGGAAATAGGGCAGCCAAGCCTATTTCAGATAGAATAGTTATGCCCAGTTTGGGACAGTGTAGTACTCTTTTATGCCTTTTTTTTTTTCAGCTCATGACATGCTGCAAGCTAAAATTCACAACTCTCTCATTTCCCTCTCTTATTTTCTCCTTTGTACATGTTAAAAACAGCGGGTCACAGAAAGTCGAGAGAACCAAATGACTATTGAAGAGAGGAAGCACCTCATCACGGTGAGAGAGGAAGCCTGGAAGACAAAAGGCAAAGGAGCAGCTAATGACTCCACACAGTTCACGGTGGCCGGGAGAATGGTGAAGAAAGGTCAGTGTGCGAGCATGCGTGCATGTGTGTGTGCGTGTGTGTGTCTACATGTGTGTACATATGTGCATGCACGCTACATCGCCCATGGAGGGTAGCGTATGACAGCTTGGTTAAAACAATCACACCATGCTCTTTTTTTTCATTTTTGATCTCATTGAAATTGTGTGAATGGTTTTGGGGTAGGGTTTTTTGAGATAATCCTATTGAAAATTTTTTATACATAACATCATCTTCAGTGTAAGAAGCGTAATTCAATTAGTCACATTTCAAAACTTAGCCCTTTGGAAATTGAGCTCAGGTTTCAAAAGCAATTGCAAATCTGCTAACAAATCTTAGTCCTTTCCCATAATTACTTTAAAATTATTTCCATTTTCTTGCCATCTGGCAATCAGTTAACCCAAATTAGCCTTTCTCAGTGAAGATGGAGTTTATCGCTTCTCCCTTGTAGGCTAATTCCTAGGTCCCTTTCCATCAAACCAGAGTTCTCTGGCTTAGAAAGCCTGATTTCCAGGTATTTTTTAATAGATGTTTATAAGATATATCCAATTACAAGCAAGTGAAATTTCCCTGCAGATGGCCATTTCTCCATCTGAGCTCTTGGAACGGATTTGAAGTCTTTATCCAAAGATTTATGAAATGGAGGAAGCACATAGTTAATAAAGTCACCAGAGACCTTTGAGCCTCCATATCCTGTAGGAAATGGTTAGAACGTGGGGTCTCTTTGTCACATATATACACATTATTTAAAAGCAAATTGCCTAACTTAGTGATACATGTTTTCACATTCACTTAAGGTTAACTCATCATCAGCTTTCTAGGCTTATCTTTCCCTTTTCTCAAAACCTCGTCCTAAATAGTGCCTGCCTCACTGCAGCCTCACACAGCATATTTGCAGAAGGGAGGGAGGGAGGGAAAACCCCTGAATTGTGATTAGCTCAAATCTTGATGGAAGACCCACCCTACCAAATGCTTAACTAAGCTTGGAATTGTCTAAAGGTAACAGCAGATAATATACTCTAACAGAATGAGGTAGCATTTGAGTATTTTCTTCACCAAATCACAAAACTGTATAATCATGTTAAACCCCTTTAACATGAGCCCCAGCCCTGTGTCAAAAACCTCAGATCCTTAAGACCCACATTAGTTAAGAAGAACTCAAGCTGAGCACTTGAACCAGAGCTCAGATCTCCCAACCTCTAGCCTGGGCTTTTATCCTGATGACATTTTATTTTGGTTTCTTTTTCCTCTTCCATCTTAAAAGTCACAATTTATTTGTAAGCGGGCCCTTACCATCAAATCCGACTGCCCTTGTCCACAGCAATGTCAGAGGAAGGAGGTTTGCTCCCATGCAGGTTTGGAGAGCAAGGTCCAAGAAGTTCCTGTCCCTTAGTGGATGAGTTTACTCTCACATTTTCATGAATAAATCAGGGATCTTCGTAATAAAACCTGAATGAAACAGGTGCTATATGGCTTGCTCAAGACATAATTTTCTTATACTTTTCATCTAATGAAAAAAAATACACCCTCTTTTTCTAATATTTGTTACCATGTAATGGGCTATGTGTTTCACTTGAGTCATGAGCTTTTTGATTTGCAGTAATATGGCATCCAATGTACACTCGCCACAGACTAAAAGAGCTCCCTCCACTGCAGCCACCGATTGTCCCATCTCATCTGGTTACAATGGCACATTTCGCAGCCGCGAGTTACTGCATATCAGAGAATTGCCAAGAGGCACGCTGTACCCTGCTTTTCATTCCCTCACCCCAGAAAATTCTGTCTCCCCTAACCTCATTAGGATTTTCTCCCTTTTTGACATTCCTAGAGTCTCTGTAACAATTAATACTCCACAAGGTTTCTGTGGTATTCTAGTATTCTCCTGGAAGAAAAGTACTCCTTTGACTACGAATGATGTGAAAATGATCCCGAAGAGAGTGGGTAACTGATTATTGCATGTAGAATTCATTGGAAAGAGGAGTGCTTTGTTTTGTTTTAACATTGTGTAATTTAAATCCATATGCCTTCCACCGTTGCAGAAAAATCCTTGTCCCTAGCTGGGAAAGAGACCGCCCACTGCCAGGAGCTCTCCAGCGTGCTGCTGCCTCAATGGGCAGCAGGGGGCGCCCTGACAGTACAGACTACCCGGTTTCCTGGTTGCCTTCTGAGTCAGGCCTGTTTATTAGCTTCAGAGTGAATGACCTCTGTGCTACTAAACCTTTCCATGTCTCTTGTGCATCCTTTAGTCAGCAACGATTTACTGTCCCAGCCTGTGATACCAAATTTTACCTTTCTTTATTATCTTTCAAGGAAGTTTACCTTCTCACTGATAGAAACCCTTTGCAGGTCGGTAACTGAAATACATTTTTAAATGTTATTGACATCATCAAGCAAATATATGCACGTATTGAGTTGTACTTCTAGAATATCACCTAAAACTTTGAAGTATATTTCAGTATTTTTCCTTTAAATGTTCATGCTATAATAATACATCCTCCTCCAGTTCACAGAAAGAAGAGCATGTGATACTGATTTACGTCTTGTCCTGCTGTTGTTCATTGAGGGGTGTTTGCCATCTAAGGATTTCACATTTACTACAGAGAACGTTGTGAATACAGAGAACATTAGCATCTCATTTTGTCCTTTGCAAATACTAATGACTTCCCATTCTAATCCCTTCTACTTAGGTTAGGAAAAAAACTATTCATCTTTGATTTAATTAAGGTTTCTTGTTCCAGCCAGGTAGATACCTTCTTGATGCTGGAATTCCTTTCTTTCTCTTTCATATGGCCCTTACCATGTCTCCCTTTAAAGATTCCACACTCTGCTTCTTGATAAATATATGTGAACGCATATCGCTGGTTCCCGGTCGTACCTGAAATGGATACACCCTTCTACCAATCACAAATGAATTTGAACATATGCTCTTCTGTGTCTATGTTTTAAAAGGTTACCACCACGTCCTTGGGTTATTGCTCAATAGAGCCACACTCCTCTGAGGGATGCCCCCAAAGGCCAGGCTGTCCTGCCCTCACCTCAGCCTGGAGGGAAACTCAAGTGCTGGGGGCTACTTGCCAGCCAGTGTCACACAGCCCATCCTCCACTGCCTCTGTGGGAGAGGGTGCAAATATACGTTCTCTTCAACTCTGTCCACCACCCCAAAGGCCTTCAGCACTCACAGCTCCATTTGTTCCAGTGTATTCTGATTGCCTGTTGTAGTCTTCCTCGTTTACGTGTTCTGGACATCTTTTTCCACATGTCCTCATTGTTCATTTTGGAAGAACAGCTTAGCAAGCTACTATAGTCCTTCGAAACGATCAAACTCTATCTACATTTGCAGTTGTCCTACAGGTCATGGTACCTGCCAGATGTACATGTGTGTGTGCGTGCATGCATGTGTAGAAATTCTATATGTTGTAAAATCCACAGTAGGGGCTAAGAGAGATCCAGCAGTGTCCGGGGAATTTCCAGAAGTGATCCTCAGGTACTAACTAGCTCCCTTGTTTGTTCCACAGGTTTGGCATCACCTACTGCCATAACCCCAGTAGCGTCCCCTATTTGCAGTAAAACAAGGGGCACAACGCCGGTTTCCAAACCCCTGGAAGGTAAGTCACCAAGGTGCCCCATATGCCAGTGGCACTATGATTGGAAGAGTTCTTAATGGCACTCTCTCACTGATGGTTTCTACTTGCCTAGACATTGAAGCCAGACCGGATATGCAGTTAGAATCGGACCTGAAGTTGGATAGGCTGGAAACCTTTCTAAGAAGGCTGAATAATAAAGGTAACTGCCAGAAACTAGAGGGAAGCTTTGGTTTATGTGCTTGTAGCACAGTGTGATTCGTATTTTATTGCGTAGCTAAGGAAGCCTAAAAAGAGCCTGCTCCTCTCTCAAAATCTCTAAATTCCAATTGTAACGGCTTTTCTCCTCAGCTAAATTGTGCCTTTTCTATGGGACTGCACCGATTCATACTGTAAGCATTATCTTTGTTGTTATCTGTTTAAAATGAAGGTACTGGTCAAGTCTGATTGTATTACCAAGCTCTGATTTTCTTGATAATGTACCAAATTTGGGATACCCACTCACATTTGTTCCTAAATCTAGATCTTTGGGATGTCATCCAATCAGGATCATGGTTTAATTTTGCTTTTAACACTGAAAGCAGATTATTATATAAAATCAGCATGATCTTGGGCCTGATGAACTTTAAATTGCTTATGTCAATTTCCAATAAAGTGGCAGCTGATGTTATAGCTTATAATCAAGCACAAGTGATTACTAAAAGAAAATTGTGGTAAATAAATGTTAAAGTAAATATTTCAATACAAAAGTCAATGAAGTATACAAAATAAAATAATAATATGCAGCAACAGCCTCAACTCTTAATAAAAAATTTTCAGTACTTGAAACTCATCAAATACTAAGCTTTAGGAGTCCCTATCATTGACAGTGATCCCTAATAGGTTGGGAATAATACAACCTCTTTAAACCAGAAATATAAAAGTGTAATAGAATAACTAATCTGGTAAAGCAAAGAATGCACACAGTTCAGTTTGTTACATACTGTATTATAACAGTGATCTAGCCCAGGGGCCTAATCCACCTGTTTTTGTAAAGTGTTATTGGAACATGGTTATGCCCGTTTGTTAAGGTATTGTCAGAGTCGTCACTTTTGCACTACAGCAACAGAGTTGAGCAGTTACAACAAGCCATAGAGCCTCCATTGCAAAGCCTAAAATATTTACTACATGGCCGTTTGCTACAAGGATTTTGCCCACCCCTGATCTAGAATGAGGTTGAGGCCAGTTCTGCCTCCAGTAGCGAAAGGAACAAGTCCAGAAATGCTGAGTGGGCTTGCATGCAGCAAGGCCAGCCTCCCTGTCTCCTACCACATCATGGTGCAAGCTTTGTTCAGACAGGAAGTCCTCTCATGAGAAGTCAAGGAAAGCCTAGGAAGCATCCAAAAGACCCTGGATATCACTATTATGTTTTCTCCACTCCTGGAACTCAGGGGGGAAATAATTTTTAAGGTATTGTGAGGTGCAGTTGGAGTCATGTTTTTTACACAAATTTATGTCATTTATTTGCTTGTTTGTTGATAGTTGGTGGGATGCAAGAAACTGTACTCACCGTCACTGGCAAATCTGTTAAGGAGGTGATGAAGTTAGACGATGATGAAACCTTTGCCAAATTTTACCGCAGTATGGACTGTACCATGCCGAGGAGCCCCGTGGAGCTGGACGAAGACTTCGATGTTATTTTCGATCCGTATGCCCCCAAGTGAGTTATTGCAATTTCTATCTTTCACCCACCGAGAACAGATGCCTTCATTGGCCTCCACCCAGTACTTGGATGAGGATCTTCTATCTCCTGTGATAGAACTTCGTTACAGCTAAATAATTACAGTAATCCCCCCTTATCCACGGGGTATAAGTTCTAAGACCCCCATTGGATGCCTGAAACTGTGGGTATTACTGAGCCCTATATATATATATATATATATATATATATATATATTATGTTTTTTCCTATGCATACATACCTTGTCATTTAAAGGAAGCACTTTATGGCTTCTCTCTCGCATATGCAAATTGCTAGCATCACAACTCTTGAACTTTGGGGCCATTATTAAGTAAAATAAAGGTTCCTGGAACACAAGCACTGTGATACTGTGACAGCCACTCTGATAACCAAGACAGCTACTAACAGGCAGGGAACATATACAGTGTGGAACCCCTAGACAAAGGGATGATTCAGATCCCAGGCAGGACTAAACGGGACAGCAGGAAATTTCATTATGCTACTCAGAACAGTGCACAATTTAAAATTTATGAGTTGTTTATTGCTGGAATTTTCCATTTCATATTCTTGGGCCATGGTTGACCGCAGGTAACTGAAACCATGGACAGTGAAACCGTGGATTAGAGGGGACTACTGTACTCTCTGAGCCAGACACACAGTGCTGAGGGGTAGATAAAACATGTGTGCCCCACAACAGATGTGCATTCAGGCAGAAAGTCTTGCATACACAGCATGGGCCACAGATGTTTGTCCTGTTCCTAAAACTGTCACTGGATTTTTCACAGAACTCCAATATTGTTTTGCAGGTTTTTTTAGACTAAAATCATTTAGCAGAGATTTCTATACCTCTCTTTTTATTTGACATTTTGAATCCTTACTCATGACTTTAAAAAATATTTGGATTACGTAGGCTCAAATTAATGCAACTGACCAGAAAATCAATAAAGCATGTTACTTAACTTACTGTAATTTATCAAGTCAGTAGATCTGAGGGTTTTCTCAGTGATGTCCGAGGGGTCTCTCTTGACACAGGAACATGACGAAACCACATAAGGAAAATGATTATGGTATTAAGATTCCTTCAGTTGCAAGTGGCAGAAAAAAATCCAAGTCAAAATGACATTAGCAAAAAAAAGGTGTGGGGGATTTACAGGCTCAACCATCGAAAAGTGTAGGCATGAACTCAGGGTCTGGAGGTGCCTTAGAATGTGGTCTCGCTTTTGCCTGTTTTCCTTTGGACTGGCTTCACTCTCAATCACTCTCATCTGTCACCAAGTGGCGTCACCAGGTGGTGAGAGATGACCACCCCCCACTCTGGATTTTTAGCTACCTACTTAGCCACCCCAGCACAGGCAGCTTCTCTCTCCAGCAGTTCCAGCAGCAGTCCCAGGCTTGATTTTCTTGGGCCTGAGTCCATCCATAGAGCAATCACTATGGCCAAGGGGACGAAAGATGCTGATTGGCCAGACATGGTCTCTGGATCCCCTCCTGACCCAGACTTCGGGGCTGGGAGTGGAGTGAGGCAGGCCTCCCAAAGGAGAGTCAAGCTGCTCTTACCAGAAGCAGGGAGAATGCTATGCTGGGCAAGCCAAACCCACAGCTATCAATCCCATTTATGTGTTTCCTACAAATTTATCAGAGTGACAGCCTCTTCCTGAAGTCTGTGTAGCTATCACAAATTGCTCCTAAAACCACTCTTGATACATTCTTTGCATGTTTCAACAGATTTGTTATTTTTTTTTTACAATTTGGTACCTTAAAAAATGAACAATTTGCCTTTTCCCATGTTTAAATAATATTTTGGGTATTTATTTGCATATATGGTTATTTAACCATTTCTTAATCTTCTCCTAACCCAAATGTCATTGTTGAAATCATTATATATGATTTAAATATATGTATGTTTACACACACACACACACACACACACACACACACACACAGGACAATATTATATATAAAAAAAGGCTTTCAGGCACAGAGACCTGTTCAGTTAGAAGTTGACAGCAGCAGTTGGAATCTGTTGGGAAATCATGTGACTGGGTTCACCCACGTCTGGTCTTCTGCCCTATAGAGAATTATGTGAGTGTGTGGCAGGTATAGTTGGTTTGGTGAGCCTATTTTATTTCAATATATTCTTCAAAATAAAGGTTTCAGAGGTAGTAATGGGTTGAGAGGAGGCTAGTTATAGGCGAAGTTGGTGAAGGAACTGAAAAATTATTGTGTAAAGAGAAGGTTACCTCTGGAGGAAAGAGGATAAAATGGAGAAGCAATGACTGGCAATAAATTCTTGAAGGACTTGTAGTGGTAGGAGAAGTAGACGTGTATTATTCCAGCAGGAGAATCAGGACGGGTGCATGGGTGTGATAAGTTAAGGAAGAACTTCCTATCCTTCAGAGTTACCTGCAGTGGAGTGAGCTGCCTGTGTGGCAAAGACCACAGGGTTGGCTGAGCGGGGGTTTCTGGGATTGGCTGGGCTCTTGAACTAAATGACTCTCTCCTTGAATTTCCCTTCCATCCCCAAAATTCTGTGACTCCATGTCAGGGGAGTGGCAAGTCTGAAGAAAGAGTCATAAAATTATAATGAAATTGTGGAGCCCATTGCTTCAGGTCAGAGACTTGCCGATAAATCAGGAGTGGGTGACATTACAGACCGAGGCTGCAGCTCTGCTTTGTTCCTCAGGTTGACATCTTCGGTGGCTGAGCACAAGCGCGCAGTTAGGCCCAAGCGCCGGGTACAGGCTTCCAAAAACCCCCTGAAAATGCTGGCAGCCAGAGAAGACCTCCTTCAGGAATATACTGAGCAGAGACTAAACGTGGCCTTCATGGAGTCAAAGCGGATGAAAGTAGAAAAGAGTGAGTATTTGCAAGCACCACCCTGCTCATGTGCTTGGGAGCTGGGGATGCGGTGATTTTAACTATCTCCTTTTTCTGCCTTGCAAACGCCAATCGCGGTGCTCATAAGACACTCATGAAATAAGAATGAGGAGTAAGTGTGCACACACACGTACACACCCGAGCAGAAAACCTGCCTGGAATTTAAAGGCTTTTCACAGAGATTCTTAACAGCATTGAGCATCTTTTCACTTGGTGAATTCAAATTATCCTGTTTCGCTGCCTTTTCTTTCAAGAGATGGGAAAAGGATGTGCCTGGGCTTTGTAATTCAACCCGTCTTCATCTCTGTAGGGCCCAAACACAGTCATTCTCCACTTAATCTCATTCAAGAGGAAATCATTTGATTTCTCATGGGAAAATGTCCCAAATCACTGCTCAGCCTAATCCTAGATTTCTGTATTATTAATTAATGCATAAACCAGCGCTTTGCAAATTGTTTTTGATGGGACCCTCAGGCTCCTGGAAGATGGGATGTGGGTTAGGTGAGTGGGGGGACTTGGGGTGGGAGCAATGAAAGGAGGGAGAGGAGGCAGGCTCAGGCTCTCTCTGTCTCGCTTTAGACGAAGCTGCTCTGCTTCTGTCTGCCCAGAAAGTTGGGGTCCCATAGTTTGAAACACTGGTTTCCATGGTGGAGATAATTGCCTGCGTAAACTTGCTGTTTTGAATATTCTCCCTATAATTTTTATTTTACTGTAGCACTCATAAACCTATTTCTTAAAGTTTTCCTTAGAAATATTTTATTTAGATAAAGTGGTTGAGTCTTTTCAATGTAGCTGGTTTACTAAGAAAATATATTCCCGAATTACTATGCCATATGAATTGTCAAGGTGTGTTATATTTCTTCAGGAGTAGAAACTAATCATAGCAAAATAATTTTATGAATTTCTCTCCAGCATACACATTTTTTTTTAAACAATGAGTTGAAGAAATAAAAGTTTGCTGGCACAAGTTTTAGGTCCTTTATCTCCACTTTTGGGGGAATGCAGAGGACGGCTTCGGGGTGACTGATATATACATTTGTTGGTCCACAGTGAAAACTCAGCATCTTGTAATTGCTGGATACAATCTTAAGTCTGAGAGCAGAAGATCCCAGGAAATCAGCTACTTGTTCATTTTTCCTCCAGAAAAAGATTAGAGCAAAACCGTCCCTTTTAGAGTGCCTGCTTTTCTGCTTTGGGTAGGAAAATAAAGACGTTTGATGAAAGCCATCTAACAGTGGCCCTTGGGAATGCATTTTCAACATCTAAACATTGTTAGGAATGATAACAGCTTCCACTGAAGTTGCAATAAATGAGCCCAGCTTCTGACTTTATACTAATGTCGGTGGACCACAGTGTCACTCAATTCTTGTCTCTACGTGGTAAGGTGTGACACTCATCAGCCGTCAGTTTAACTCTCAATACGGAGTTTAATTCTGGATACAGCAGTTAAGCACTGACCTGCATAGGTAATCAAACCTGACCCTCAGGACTAACTTTCAAAGAAAAGGAGAGTCAGTTGTGAATAATTTCTGATTGTAAACACTGTCATTCTATCTGAACATCTTGCTTCCCCCTGAGTTGTGTTTCCTTCTTCCACCCCCCAGTGTCCTCCAACTCCAACTTCTCGGAAGTCACTCTGGCAGGTTTAGCCAGCAAAGAAAACTTCAGCAACGTCAGCCTGCGGAGCGTCAACCTGACGGAACAGAATTCGAACAATAGCGCGGTGCCCTACAAGAAGCTGATGCTGTTGCAGATTAAAGGTATTTAAGCACCGCAGAGAGGAGTTACACGTTGACCAGAGGTTTTCATCTGGTAACATCAGGAGTTGTGACTGCCCAGAATTGCCTGTCAGGGGAAAGGAACACATGCTTTTTGAGAACCTTCCGTGTGCCAGGCGCTCAGCTCCCTCCTAAGCTTCACAAAATCCCTGAGGTATTGCACCCACTGAGGCTTAGAGCCAGGGTCAGTAATGTGCCTGAGCTCACAGCAGCTGTTGAGTGGCAGAGCTGGTTTGAACCCTGGCCCCTCCCATTCCAGAAGCTCAGCTTTGGCGGCTGACTCCCCTTCCCCTGTGGCCCCTGCCCCACACACAGCCATGCAGTTACCAGATGCCCCCTAAATTGTCATCGTGGTTGTGTCTCCACGCAGTTCTCCTCATTGAGGTAAACAAGAGGCAGTGTAGGCCAGAGGGAGCTAGGAGCACTCTTGGACAAGAAACCCCGGGCAAGCAGAGGCAAAGGAAGTGGACCCGGATTCCACTCCAGCACCCTTGCTATCCATGGCCAAGGAGACTCAGCTCTGGGCTGTGAGGACAGACTGCTGCCTCTGCAAGGCCCAATCACACTGGAAACCCTCACCGACAGAGAGGATATTCCATCTGTTCTTCTCCTGATGATTATTCTATAGCAGTTGCCTCTCTGAGGCAGTGCTTGCCTCCAGGCTGATTCCGCTCAAAACTCCCCTGTGGTTTAGAGTGAAAACTCCTGGGGAAGCAGATGCTATTAGACAGCGCACCCTCGCCTGTGGCATGCTGGCCTGGTTATTAAATGTAGCAGGTAAGAGTGGAGAGAGGGAGACTAGGAGATGAGTGAAGGAGGGGAAAGGAGCACGTGTGCTGTCTTTCCTGGAGGAGGGGGCCTCAGCTAACCCACACACACGCTGTAATAGGACACCAGTGGTGGTCCTAAGACCCCGGCAGCATTTGGGAAAGCACTGAAGGAAACAATCCATAATGCTGTCATTCTAAACCCCTCTGCCATGCTGCGTCCTGGGAACTAGTATTAGTAGGTGAGACGCTTTAGAATTAAAAGGGATGCTTCAAATGGGGGCACTTCCTGGTCCTTCCGGTGCCTGGGAGAGGGGTCCTCTCTGGGAAGATGGTGACCCTTTGCCTTGTGTTCAGGAAGAAGACATGTGCAGACAAGACTGGTTGAACCTCGAGCTTCGTCGCTCAACAGCGGGGACTGCTTCCTCCTCCTCTCGCCCCATTACTGCTTCCTGTGGGTAGGAGAGTTCGCAAATGTCATAGAAAAGGCGAAGGTTGGTATCTGGAATTTAAAAACGGTTTCGTTAAGCGTCTCGTTTATACACCAATAGAATGTTGCGCCAGTTGCCCGATGATTACAAAGCTCCTCAAACGCCCAGTGACTGTTTCATTGCAGCGAGAAGGGGTAGATAGCAGTTATTTTCCTGAATGTCTCTCAAGCTATTATTATGTGCCGAAGTGGGATGTTTTAGAAGGATTATAACCTACCCCTCCAGATTTAAGTCCTGGGTTGGTTCTCACCCTTGTGGAAAAAAACAAACTGTCATGTCACTTCAAAGTTGTTTATCCCAGGTACCTATGAAATTCTGCACAGACTTAATGAATGACAATCTCATGGGGAAAAACCCCAAGAATGGGTATTTTTTTTTTAAAGCTTCACAAGTGATCTGTTGAATGTGAAGACTGAGAACTGTTGCTCTAAAGAATTGATACCCATGATCCTTTACTTACATTTTCTTGACTTTGTTGAAAATGCCCAACAACCAGTGCCTCGGGTTCCTGTGGTCACAAGGTTTTCCTTTCAGACACACACCATGGTTTGTCTCTGATTTCAGCATGTGCCACTCCACCTAGCCACAGGCTTGTCTGCCCAGGTAACTGTGTTCCTCCTTTTTTTAGGCCTCAGAACTTGCAACTTTAATTCAGACAAAGAGGGAACTTGGTTGTAGAGCTTCTTATATCCAAACTATCGAAGAAGGAATTAATACCCACACTCATGCAGCCAAAGACTTCTGGAAGCTTCTGGGTGGCCAAACCAGCTACCAATGTAAGAGTTTATATCATTTCAGAGAATGATGACTTGAATATCCTTTCTTCTTCCCCACTTCATTCTTCTAAACCAGCCACTTTTTCAGTGTGTCATGTAATACCCTCTTATTGTCCGTACCCCAAAGCTGCTGGAGACCCAAAAGAAGATGAACTGTATGAAACAGCCATAATAGAAACAAACTGCACCTACCGTCTGATGGACGACAAGCTTGTTCCTGATGACGACTTCTGGGGGAAAATCCCAAAGTGCTCCCTTCTGCAATCAAAAGAGGTACAGTGAGTGGGAGCAGCACTCTGCACAGGGCTGCCCAATAAAATAGATAGTAAGTGCCCCATAAATGTTAGCCAGTGTCAGTACCATCATAGAACAGTGACATCTTTTAAAAGGACATTTATTTGTGATTTCAAACCATTACTGCCACCTTAAATACCAATACAGATATCAGAATATTGTTCAGAGGAGGTTCAACGAATCATTGAAGGCTTTTCTATTTTAGGCAAAATGTATATATTACCTAGCCCTATCTCTTGATTTTTTGTATACACATTCGATAAAATATTTTTCAGTCCTTTAGTTTCGGGAATGATAGATGCATATATTTATTATAATTTAGTTTTATGTTTACCAAGTATGTGTTGGTTTTTTCCTCACACCAGTAAATAGTTATTAAATACATATGTTTCCAGCACCGTTAAGTCTTCTAAGTGTTGAGAAAAAAAGTGAAAGACAAAATTTCATTGAGTAGGAGAATAACTAATGTTATCTGAAGCTAGATTGATTGTATGATATGTATAGGCATATAAATGGGGAAACAAGTCACCAAAAAAATAAATAATCAGGAATAACTTTAAAGAGAAAGTGAAATTGAGCCTAGCTTGGAGTTCAGTAGAATTTGGATTGCTGGAAATGAAGGGAGGAATTATTCTAGGAAGAAAGAGTACAACAAACCATAGGCATGGAAATAAGAAATAGCATTACAGTCATGTATTCATTCAACAAACATTTAGCACCCCTTGCTATAAATATAAGTATGGTATGGTCTCTGCCCTTGAGGGTCTTGGAATTGTACAGAGGAGAGAGGACATCACTGGGCCCTCTGTGTGGAGCATGTATGAAGTGGCCTGTATATGCTAAGTGAATGAAGGAGCAAAAGAGGGAAGGAGAGAAGGGAGGGAGGGAGAGAGGAAGGAAGGAAGACATCCTTAACTCTTTTATGAATCAGAAATTTTAGGTGGCTTGAGAGTTTGGAGGAGGGAACATTAACTTGGGCATTGAGGACAAGACAGAAATCCCCACCCGCAGGGCAGAAGCAGCCTCAGTGTGCCAGCTGCTCAGATCTTGTGATCTTTTTGTGTTTGTACCGATTGTTCCGTCTGCATTTGTATCATCACCCATTTGACTCACTATCAGTAGGGACCCCCGATTCAACTGGAGCTTGACCTGGAAGTTAACAGATTCTTCTGTGCCATTCTCCCAGGTACTGGTATTTGATTTTGGCAGTGAAGTTTATGTGTGGCATGGAAAAGAAGTTACATTAGCGCAACGGAAAGTAGCATTTCAGCTGGCAAAGCACTTATGGAATGGAACCTTTGACTATGAGAATTGTGACATTAATCCACTGGACCCCGGGGAATGCAATCCACTTATTCCCAGGTACTCCTGTGATCTTTGATGGCATTGTACAGCAAGGAGGGACCCAGTTCTTATCACAGTTGTCTACTGCCACTTTTCATAGGTTTTCGTTTTCATGCATAATTGCAGTACAGTACCATGAATATTCACAAAAAAGAGCATTTCTTTAGCTTTCACATAACTAATACAGAAATATGGATGGTGTAGTCTCCTGGAAGATGTTTGTGCTGTGTTTCATTTCTTGAAGTGAACAAACTGTTCTCACCTGTGGCAGTCCAGATGCTATTGTGACAGATGAATAGCAATTGTTTACATAAATTACACGCTGACCTGAAAACTTCCCAGGGTCTGGAATTCAGCCATTGATCTGAAGATGTGAAAGTAATACATTGCCTTCTAATTTCACACCTTCCCAGCATAGCCCTTGAATTCCAGGATTTACCATTTATTTGCCAGTAGGTGGTTTCTGTGCCTTTTCTTGGATGGAGGAGGAGAGGATATGGTATTGAAATACTGATTGTAATTTTAGTATTTTCCTCAGTGTATTGGACTTTTTAAAGTAATTTTGGCAAATCAGCAGGATATGCACAAACTAAGAAATATGATTTTAAGAAAAATAATTCTTATATGCAAAGAAATTGTTGTTTTTCTTAGCTACCAGAAAAAAAGCATGTTTTTAAATTGCGTGCCATATAATAGGTTAGAAATAGATGTGCCACCAAACAACATAGCGTAGTAGGTATCAAGAACTGCATTTTAAAGGTTTCCATTGAGCTAATGTACAAATTTCAATTTTCCTACCTAGTTTCCTGTTTTAAAATCAAATTATTTATTTTATTATTAATTATCACTGTAGAAAGAATTAAACATTTTGTTGATGTAGGTGAAAAGTTTTCAAATCCTTTTTGGAACAAATGTACATTTAGCCTAAAATTAGTATTGTAATAACTAGAGTTTTACCAGACAGAAGCTAAGGCTAAAAAGAATATTTTATTTGGTATAGTAAAGGAAAAAAAAAATCTAAAGCATAAAACCCATATGAGAACAATTCATATTTAGCAGTGACGTAATCACAGGTCTGGAAGTAGCTGAGGGAACACCCAACCCCCTAATTTTCAACATCGCCCAGACCAAAATCAGCTGAGGAGCTTTAAAAAAAAAAAATGCATGTGCCAGGCCCAGCCCCAGAGATGTGTTTTCAGTTCGGGTGTGGGGTGGCCTTATGTGTCAGTATGTCTTCAAAGCACCCCGGAGATTTTAAGGTGCGGCTAACATGAAGCATCCAGCCCTTCTTAAGAAACAAGGAGGCTGAAACCACTGACGTGGTGTCATGACTTAACCCCCTTCCAACATATAAGGATGGAGAGAGAAGCACACCTGCTCCCACTCCGGTTCATAGCCTCACACTGCAGCCTGCTCCCTCTCGTGTTCGTGCAGCTTCACAACTTTGAAGACACATTTCTAAAGCTGAAACCAAGTGCTCTTTCTATAGACATCTTAGCAAGTCTGCAGATTCGAATTTATATAAAAGGCAGCCATTCAGATATTTTCTGGTAAAGATCACACACAGCCTTTCAAGGGAGTCCTGCATTTCCTTCCATAGGTGCTGGCCCTTGGTTCCTTCAGTACCACAGGACTACGAGGTGGCTGTGTTTGCACCCTGTGCTTCATCTTTTCAATCTCCTTTGAAACAGGCAGCCTCAGTGATGTGCCTTAGCTGTGATGTCAGAAACTGTAGTCCAGACCAAAATAGGAAGTAATGAGACAGAGGTGACAGCAGGGCCCAGTGAGCGCTGCTCATCGGTCTGAGGGGACATTCCGCATCCCAGGCCCGATTCACAACCAAAGATTGAGTTGGAAGGATGAGAAATACCTGCACGATCTTCTCAGGGCTGAACCCTCTACAGCATGCATTTTCTTGGCTGTGCAGGCACACCTCGTTGTATTGCGCTTCACAGATGTCGCATTTTTTACACATTGAAGGCATGACCCTGTACCAGCAAAAAGATTACAACTTGCTTTATTATTATTATTATTTTAAATTTTATTGGTGAATTGGGGAAGAGGAACAGTGTTGGGGAACTGCAGGAGGGGAACAGCCAAGTTGTTGTCTTTCAATCTTAGTTGTAGAGGGCGCAGCTAGCTCAGCTCCAAGTCCAGTTGCCATCCAGCTGCCTGTCAGCAGCTCGCAGCCACTCAGCTCAAGGTGCCATGTTCAGTCTTAGTTGTGGATGGGTGTAGCCCACCATCCCATGTGGGAGTCGACCTGGAAACCTTGTTGGTAAGAGCGCACGCTCTAACCATTGAGCAACCCGGCCACCCATCAGCATCTCAGGGCAGCTCAGCTCAAGGTGCCGTGTTCAATCTTAGTTGCAGGTGGGCGTAGCCCACCATCCCATGCGGGAGTTGAACCAGCAACCTTGATGTTAGGAGCATGTGCTCTCACCAGCTGAGCCATCCTGCCACCTGTTGGCAGCTCAGCGGCAGCTCAGCTCGGGCGCGGCGTTACTGGCCCATGTGGGAATCAAACCTGTCAGTCGAACTCACACTGTTAACCTACTGAGCCACTCGACTGGCCCAAAACTCTCTTTATTGTGATACTTGCTTTATCGCAGTAGTCTGCAATATCTCTGAGGTAGGCCTGTACCTTTTTCTGAGTTCCCTTTTGTTCCAAGCACAGTTTCAGATTCTGAGACACTGAGGCAATCCCAGGCCTCCAGCTGGGTGGGCTGTGTCACTTCCTTCCCTGTGTCCCTGTGCTCCCCCTGCCTACTGCCATATCCAGTGGCCTAGAAATAAATATGTAAAGATTTACTTTATGTTATATGAAAGAATGTTCAGTTTAGTAAGAGAGGAGAATAGACTGAAGAGCTTCGTCGTAACATGAAACAGTGGAGAGTTCAGGGTGAACTCCCATCTGTTCATGAACTTGACAGGAGCTTGGTGAGGTCCTGCAGATGCCTGAGGGTGGCACAGGAGGCGAGGAACATGCACGTATGTGCATGACTCCTGCTTCACCCAGCACCCAGCCCACTATGCCACCCCCAGCCTATCCCAAACAAAAGAATTTGCTAGAATGCAAGAAAAGTCCAGTCCTGACATGGTTTGCCTTTCATTCCTCCTCATCAACTCCGTGGACACAAAGTTTTTCAAGGCTTCAGGCTAAAATAATAAAATGTCACTGATTTGGTAAAATAAGTAAGAGTGAACCATTCATTCTATATACTACTTATGCATCCTGGGGTTTTTTCAATAACCACATGTGTTTGTTTCGGTCCCTTTGCTTTGTTTTCACGTGGCTGAATCTTGCTTCTTTTCCTGTCCCCTCCCCCAACCCACCCACCTGCAGAAAAGGACAGGGGCGGCCTGATTGGGCGATATTTGGGAGACTTACCGAACACAATGAGACTATTTTGTTCAAAGAGAAATTTCTCGATTGGACTGAACTGAAGAGACCGAATGAGAAGAATGCCAGCGAATTCGCCCAACAGAAGGTACGCCAGGTGGCCAGGCCTCACACCTCAGGGCTGCTGGGGGCTCAACAGTGGAGACCTGAAACTAAACGCCTTCCCAGAGTTTCCTAGCAAACCAGTTTTTAATTGCAGTAATACCTTGGTTGGCAAGCATAATTCATTCTGGAAACAAACTACTTGTATTGTAAGACATCGCTCGTTTACCAAGTTAAAGTGTATTAGAAATGTTTGCTCGTCTTGCAGAACACTCACAAACCAAGGTTTTACTGTATATTCCAACTCTAAGAATGAAAGTAGCCCTGTCTGTATGTTTGGGTTTATACATGTCCCATTCACTGTGGTGATGTGAGTCTTCAGGCCTCCCCAAGTCTTTACCCTAAATGCAGCCTTTCCCTAAATGCATTTCAATGCCGTGAGACAGAGAGTGAAAGCTCAACTCTCACACTGTCCCATTAATAGTGAAACTGCATTGAGTGTGAGACGAAACGGCTGGAGAAACAAGCAAGTGAACAGACTGTTTTTTTTAATGTTCCCTTCTAGGAGGATCCTAGGGCTGAAATCAAGCCATACGACGTGACCCGGATGGTACCCGTGCCCCAGACGACCGCTGGCACTGTGCTGGACGGGGTGAATGTGGGCCGTGGCTATGGCCTGGTGGAAGGGGACGACAGGAGGCAGTTTGAGATTGCTAGTGTCTCTGTGGATGTCTGGCATATCCTAGAATTCGACTATAGCAGGCTCCCCAAACAGAGCATCGGGCAGTTCCATGAGGGAGACACCTATGTGGTCAAGTGGAAGTACATGGTGAGCACCTCAGGTTAGTGACACTTACGTTTTCTTCAAACTGAGACAGGCCCAGACCCAACTCTGAGACTGGGAACCTCAGCACTGCTGGAGCTGGGCTCCCTCTGCATAATACTCACCCTGGCTACATGGCTGCAGAGTGTCAGCCTAGCTATTCGCTTTGAGAACTGCTTAGCAAACCTGCAAACAGATTCCTGACAACCCAGCATGGCTGACATCTGGGCTGTTTCCTTCTACAGAGGAAACTTGCATGTTAACATTTTTGACGACTTTCACGCCCTCCCCAACCCTGTCCCCAGAGGTTTTCTAGGCAAGTGACGACTTGCCTCCAGTTGGTATTTGCCAGGTGGCTGGATGCTGCTTGAATTAAAGTCATTAAGTAAAGCATAGCTGGATGATTTAGAACTGAGACCAAATGGGGTAGTAACATTATAGCAAATACATGCCCCCCAAATTTATTAAAAACGGAAGAAGCTATTTCCTGTGAGACTGAGAACTTAGCAGTTCTTTGTGGATCTGGTAGAATAAATACATAGTCAAACTCCTCATGGTTCCTGCCGGTAAAGTACTCTTGGTAGCAAACTCTCAATTGTATGCTTTGCTCTAGAAGCAATGCGGGGGATAGCAAGTAAACTTTGGAGAAAGAAGTGCTTATCTCTGACCAGAAGCAGCTGTTATGCACATTATGAATGGTCTCCATCATCGCTACCCACTTAGGAGAGAGCTTATGTCACAACTGTGACTTCCAGATTCGACTCCAAAGGAGTTGATAGAAACCCAACTTGCATAAACCCAAACATACAAACAGGGCTACTTTCATTCTCCTTACAGCCCTCTTGCCATCCAGGTGGGGCCATCCCTGGGCCACAGGAAGTTGTCACTTGCTGATCAAACACCTGCAGACTTAGAACCATTTGATTTCTTTCCTAATTTATCAAAAGTAAGTCTTAATCAACTCACAGCAGTTACTGAGCACCTACTCTGTATGTTAGAGACTTTTCTGAGAAGCAAGCAAATACTTCAAACTCTGCCTTCAAGAAACATATGGTATAAATGACAATGAGGCCAGTATGGGGAGAGGTAACTACTCCATGCCAAAGGAGGAGAGCTTAATTCCCTGAGATGGCATTTGCCTGCACTGAGAAAAGCCCAGCAAAGCAAGACCTGGGTGGCCAGTGGACGGCATCTCCAGGCAGGGCAGGAGGGCTGCATGGGGTTGTGCCAGAGCCAGGCTGCAGGCCCAGAGGTTCACCCAACCCACAAGACACACACTAGGGGCTTTACCGCAGGCCCTAGCTGAGTGCCTCACAGAGGGTCCACGAGATGTGTTCTGTCCATATGCTGATTTCTCAGATAAGGAACAGGACACCAAGATTAAGTAACCCACTGAAGTCACACAGCTAGGAGAGAGCAGAGCTGGACACCAAAGCCCCTTTCCCTTTCATAGGAGACCCTGTCGCACAGAGGAAAGGTCATAGGCCCTGGGACTGTATGGCTTGGGTCTGAATCTCCTCTCATACCAGCTCTGCAATTTGGGTAGAGTTATTTAACCTCTCTGAGCCTCAGTTGTCTCACCTGGAAAGTAGAATTTATAACACCCAGCTTACGGATATTATATTCTGGGATGTATAATGTTTAGCACATGCCTGGCACATGTTCACATGGTAGGTGCAGGAAATAAATGTCATTGACATTCTCAGCAGCAGCAGCATAATAACTATATTTAACTTGAAGATGAGATCACGTGGATCCACCCAAAATAATAGCAATTTCCGTGAGCCACTGTTGTAGGGTTAAGCTCCTTGATGTAACGCAGAGTTGGCAAACTGAAGTAATAATTTGTGTGGCTGGTTGGCCATAAAGACAATAAGAGAGAATATAGTGGGGAAAAATCTACTAACCTTTGGAGTTGAGGAACAGACAGCTTTAAGGAACAACTTTTGAAAACTTACATAGTTCTTGTTCTCAAAATACAAGAGGAGCTATATGTTTTATAAAGGGAGACCAAAGGCTCTACAGTGTGTGATTGAGTCATGTCCTTACCCTAGCTGTTAGTTATAAAAAAGAAGTAATAGCAAATGAATGAATGAATGAATGAATGATTATTAAAATGAATTAATTTTTAAAAATTAAGATTTGAGGCCTCCATAGACTATTTACTTGGAAGCCCCAAAGAAATAATGATTTGAGCCAGGCATTTCCTTTCTGTATTTCTTCCCAGTCAATAATGTGTGCATCTCACAGCCAGATCCAGCACTATCTTTATGAGCAAAGTTAGAGCGCTGAAGAAGTCCAGCTGCAGAGAATTAAGTTAGAGTGGGGAGCATTCCAAGTCCAGACCGTCCCCCTGGGAGCAGCACAGCATCGCCCAAAAGCATTTGAAGTCACTCCGTCGTCCTCCCGGCAGCACCGGTCCCTGGGTGACTGCTCATCCAGCTCCTCATCACTTATACCCCACCAGGCCTGCACCTGCAAACAGGACTGAACTCGGAGCTCGGGATGTTCTGGGACAGGCTCAGCAGAAAGCAGCAGCTGTAGGGGTCGTCCTCTTGGTGGACGCTGGCCAGCCTGCACAAGCACACACAGAGAGCCTAGCTCATTGAGCTCCACGGAACGCGGACTAGAGGCCTCCATGGGTCGGTGCCCTGCCCCAGTGGTCTCCTCAGGTCTTGCAGGGCATGGCTCGTACCCCCAAAGGTGGGGAAACGAGCTGCTCAAAGTACCCAAGGACACTGGGTCAGGACACTCCGGAGTGTGATACAGGTCAGGTTCCTATAAGTAGGCAGGCAGTAAATCTCTTGACCTTGAGCAGTTCTTCATACCTTCGTTTTCTATTACTCCTAAATATAACTACTGCTAACAAACTTACTTTTGAAAATATTTTGATGGCATACTGCAACCAACACTTTATTTATTTATTTTTTAAGATTTTTATTGGGGAATTGGGGGAAGGGGAACAGACAAGTTGCTGTCCTTTTGTTCTTCAGTCTAGTTGTGGAGGACGTTGCTTCACTGGCCCAAGTTGGCACCATCATTGCACTCTTCCCGGGCGAGGCAGATCAGTCGCCGGCTTCTGGACTGCCGCTCACTGCGGCTGCTGGCTGCTGGCTGCTGGCTACACACAGTAGCCCATGGCAACCCACTGCAGCAGGGGCTGCAGCCTACGCCATCGCCAGGGGCGCACGGCAGCCCAGCTCCAGGTTGAGCTGTTGTTTAGCATCTTAGCTGTAGAGGGCAGTGTCACTGGCCCTCATATGTGGGATCCGAACTGGGGCCCTCTGGCGTCCCAAGCCAGCTCTTAACCAACGCACCACTTGGCCGGCCCATGCAACCAACACTTTAAATTAGGCATCTGAACAATGTTATAAAGATTATAGTCTGGAAGTTCTTACTAATAAAAACTTAATCTTTACTTTGCTAAAATTAAAAATAAATGAATTACAAATTAAGTCGTACATAGGATTACATTTGAATATGTTGAAGAAAATTGCAAGGAAAATTAGTGAAAAGTCTGTTTTATGAAATATTTGTAAAAAAATACAATTCTATTTTAGATTCATATACTCAAGTCCATTTTAGAATGTTAGGATTAAACATGAGTACATATTTACACAATATGTTTAAGTGCTAGCAAATACCAAAATATGTATCCACTGCTATGATATATTTTAAGCATATTTTTTCCCAATAATCTAGTTAACACAACTAATTTTCACTACTTTGAAGAATGGGGTTTCTCAGCAAAAGCAAACTTTTGTTCCTATCTAATCATCAGAAATTTCAATAGAGTAGCTTTCAAATTAATTGTGAATATTCATAACCTATTTATTGATGGTTGCTATTTCACTTGGCCCACGTGAAAATACACAGATCTGACCCATTCAGGTGTACTGTACTTCAGATGGCATTAAAGACTGCGCTTCGTCAAAATAATTAAAGAATTATTATAACTATTTATGAAAACTATTATAGAGTACTTTGCTAATGGGCCAGAAACAAAATCAAATAAATATGGGTTCTGACCTCTTAAGAACTTAAAACACATAAGCTTCCTTCTTACCTTCAACCTGAAGACAACTGTGATTTGGTGAATAGGATTGGGGCTATGAAAAACTGAGGCACTATAGAAGCAGAGAATCTAGTTATTATCATCAATTTTTAAGATGCATGGGTGTTGCAACCATCAGCATCCTCCCACAATTGGCTCCCACTTACTAGGCTCACCTGGGTATTGGAATCAAGAACTTGGTCTCCCAACTTCATTCCGCCTGGAAGGCTCTGCCTCCAGATCCTCGTCACTTAGGCCTCCCCTCACCCACCTCTGCAGAAAGGCCTTCCTTCCACAGGCAGTCCCAGTAACACTCACCCTACCCCTGCCGATTTTCCTCATCACACGTAACCACTGCCTCAAAGAATCTTGCTAATCTATTTGTTTATTAGAACTAAAGCAGGGACGTTGTCTGTTTCGCTTATCGTTGTAGCCCTAGTATCCTAAAGAGTTCCTGGCACACAGTAGATGCTCAAAAAAATCTTTGCTGAACAGATGACAGAGGGGAGTCGGAGTGAGATCAGTTCCGAAAGGTAGCAATTTTGTGGTCTGAAATACTGTGTAAAACAACCACTTGGCCGATTAACTTTCTGTGACTGCTTGTCAGGGAGACCCGCCTTCTGTGCGTTGCGGATACGTATTGAAGCCTGCGAGGTGCCAGACAATAAGGATAACCAGCACTTAATCCTGGCTACAGCCCTGGTGACAGATATTATTGAAATCTCAGATTATTTTATGAAAGTGATATGTCAGCAATTCATCCCTTCCGTTTCTTACAGAACTTGGAGTCTTCAAAGTGGATTTTGTTTTGTTTTTTTTACTAGAATACTTTTAACAGACTACATTTTTTCCCTTTGTGCTTAAAGCTGGCCCAGCTGTTGTTTTCAATATCTTTTCTCTACCAGCTAACCTTTTGCCAAAAAATGGTGTAATATGGAAAACGCATTTGTGGACTTGGGAGCCGTAGGTCCTGCTCTGGCAGTCACCACTTTCTCGGTCACACACTTGGAAGTGTCTGCTCCTTCCTGTAGGATGACAGGTGTTTTTCTTAGAGTATCAAGAGGGCCGCTTAGATCACTTTTCTCCAGGTTGGAGTCTCAGGGTCAGTTAGCAGGAAGAAAGGTGGTTTTTTTTTTTTTCTCTCTTCTCCTGCAGTGTGATTTACTCGCCCTGCAGTGGTGAGTGATGTCTCCTGGGCCCCATTGCCCAAAAACTATTTCTCTACTCTTTGTCCTCGCAGAGCCTGGAGAAGTGAGCGGTGTATTTGCTCTTCGTTTGCCTTAGCAGCAGCTCACCCCAGCCTCCACTGTTCTGTGTCTTTGCAGTGGGAAGCCGACAGAAGGCCGAGCACCCCATAAGGGTGGCTGGCAAAGAGAAGTGTGTCTACTTCTTCTGGCAGGGCCGACAGTCGACTGTGAGTGAGAAGGGCACGTCGGCCCTGATGACGGTGGAGCTGGATGAAGAGAGAGGTGCCCAGGTAAGTCCTAGAAAGCCGCTGCACAGGAAATGGAGAGATGTCCTTGCTGGGAGCCCTCGGATGTGTAACCAGGTCCCCGAAGGACCCAATTCTAATGAACAAAGACAACTCAACCAAATACCTTTTTAGTCCTGCCAGCTTCTCCAGACTTCAGGCTGTGCCTCTCCTTACATCCCCTCTCCGCTCAGCCAGGAAGGCCCGCCTGTTGTAGTATGATCTTAAATAAAAAGATTGTACCTGCAAACAGTAAATCTGCAAAACAAGGACAAAGGGCCATTGAGTGTTTTTTAAAAGTTTCCACTTAACTAATCACCAAGGAATTGTAAAAGAAAACTAAGAGATGCTGTTTTCCACTTAGCATCTCTTTGCTAAGTGGAAACTTAGCAAAACTTAGTAGAGATTTTTTTCTTTAAAGGATGGACCCAGGCTGTCAAGGACGCAGTAGGAGGAGGGTCCTCATGTGCTTTCATTGGCAATGTAACTTGGAACAGCCACCCTGAAAAACAGTTTTGGCTCGAGAACCTGAAAATGCTCATAAACTTTGACCAGTTATTCCGCGTAAACAAATCTATCCTAACCAAATCTGTACTAATCAGAGATTAATGTAAAAATGAGCATTCCCATCATCTGCGTTCCTCAAAACAGCCCGAGTGGTTTTTCTAGAACACGTCCGATCATGTCACCCCCTTGCTCTTTATCACACTTGGCCTACAATCTAAGCAGCTTCCCAGTGGGCTACCAGCACCTTTGTGGTCGGCCCTCCATGCCCCTCCAACCTCCCCGGGTCTTCCCCCGGCCCTCCGGCCGCTCCAGCCTTGCTACTTCTCAGACACACCTCTCTCCACCCACCCCAGGACTCTTGCACTATTTCCCCTGCCTGGAGGGCTTCCCCTGGCTCCATATGTAACACTCAACCTCATACGGTTCAGGCTTATGTGCCAATGTCACCTTCCTATTTTATCCAGATCCCTTCCCTGTTCTCACATCATTGTCTGTCCCTTTAGTATGTGTTATTTTTTTCATAGCACTTACCACTATGTAAAACTACATAGCCATTTTATTTACTTATTTATTATCTGTCTTTGCCCACAAACATTAAAGACACCATGTCTGTCCCGGTCTTAGTCACCATTATAACCCCAGGACCTGCGTAATGGTACTACTGCCCCAATTCAAGGTTTTGTAAACATTCTGTTTAGTGTTTGGATTCTGTGTGCCTCGTGTTCCATCTTTTAGTACCAGTAATTAAGAGCTAACTCTGGCGTGTTGGGGAAACATGACACCATAGGGGAGAGAACAGGGGAATTTTCTCCAGAAATAGAGCAATACTCACTCAGCCGTCCAGATTTCCTAAGAACCAATCCTCTTCTACTATGGACTATATTTTACAAATAGCTGTTAGTGACCATTGCATTTTCATGTATTTGTAATGGTGGGTAATTTCAGCTGCCTTTTTGTTTTTTTAAAAGGCCATCAATGAATATGTTTTTATCATGCCTTCAAAATCATCCTTAGAGTTTCGAGTCTTAATCTAGCCAGTTGGAGCATATCATTTTTTTAATCAATCCAACAGATGGAAAATCACTAGACCTATAAAACACTGCCACAAAAATGGCACTTAATTATGCAAAATGGGCCTTGAGATTGATAAGTTAACTCATGGTGAAAAATGCTTCTATCTTCAGTGCTCCCCAACTGCCAGCCTCAATAAACAGTTTCCTCTTTCAGGGAAAATGTCTTGCCAAAGTGAGAGTCAGTTGACTCAACCGTAACGTCATCATGGTGCAGCTCACACCTGATGGAAGGGAGGGTGTTAACAGGCAAGGGGAGGCTATGGTTGGCAGTCACATGGCACTAGGACTAGACTCTTGGAAAGGTTGCAAAAGAGACGGTACTTTTCCCCGGAAATATTAAGTCAGTGATTAGTCATTCTCAGTGCTGAGAAGTGAACTTTGTTAAAAATGTGTTTAAATTGATCCTGTCATACCTATAACCATGAAATACCATTTAAATATCAAAATTCACGTTTTAAAATATATATTCAATGACAAACATTAACTGTAGCAAGCAACATAAAGCAGCAATCCTGTTTTTGTTTGGAGAAAATATATACCTGAAAAATACTTTGAAAGGGAAGCTATCCACTAGAATTTTAATAGTAGTTATCTTTTAATAATAGTATTGTCACTGGCTTTTGTTTGTGCTTCTTGATACTTTTCAGATGTTCTACAACAGGTGTGTATTATTTCTATGCCTTTGAAAACCAGTACATGTTACTTATTTTAATGTGTTTAAATTGGAAGGTCCAGGTTCTCCAGGGAAAGGAGCCCCCCTGTTTTCTGCAGTGTTTCCAGGGGGGAATGGTGGTGCACTCCGGGAGACGGGAAGAGGAGGAAGAAAATGTGCAAAGTGAGTCACTTTTAGAGTTGGAATTAGACTTGTTTTTCCTCTCCTGGAAGGTATTTTTACAGGCGTGGGGCTTTAAAGTAAGCCTCTCTTCATATAACTGTGGCTCTACCACTGAAAGCCTCCCAATGTTTGCCTCATAAATCAGCTTTGTGGGGAGCTCATAGTCCTCGCCCCTCCTGTGGCGTGTGTACCTCAAGACCCGACTTTGCATGCTGGAGGCTGGAAGATTACTTCATCTTAAACAGAATCCTCACAGTGACTCTGTCTCTTTTTGGGAGAAAAAAAAAAAAATCAGAGGATCTTCTATTATAAATTATGAGTTTTCTATTAGCCAGCATCCAAAAAAAACCACCTTAGCTTTAGAGGCTTTTAAAACATGCCTGTTATATGACTTACCTAGGCATTTATAAATTTTGTAAAAACGGTTTCTCTGCATCGTGAACTTTTGGCAACCTGCTTGTAATTCCAAAAGGATTTGCTTTCTGGGTTGGCAGTGAGACTGCCGCTGACTTCAGCCGTGGCATGACCTCAGCCTCTACTTTCCCTTAAGTCATGGGGCTGTGTTTGCGGTTGACTGCCCAGCAGGGACCCAGAAGGGCCAGTCTCCCTGTGTAGCACACACCCTAACCCTGTACCGCTGGTGCCCCCTGCAGGTGAATGGAGGCTGTACTGTGTGCGTGGAGAAGTGCCCATGGAGGGAAATTTGCTGGAAGTGGCCTGTCACTGTAGTAGCTTGAGGTCCAGGACGTCCATGGTTGTCCTCAACGTAAATAAAGCCCTCATTTACCTGTGGCATGGATGCAAAGCTCAGGCCCACACAAAGGAGGTTGGAAGGACCGCAGCAAATAAAATCAAAGAACAGTGAGTATTGTGGGTGTGTGAAGGTGTTTTCTGGAAAGGGCTTCCTATGGGACATGTAGGTAAAGATGGGAATGGTTCTCAAGATTCCTAGTGGATGCCCCGGTGTGCTTACACCCTTCAACAAGGGTAGTCATGACCATTGCCAGGGGCCTCTGACGTCCCCAGTATACCTGACACACATCTCAGCCAAAACATCCAACTCGAGGGCTTCTTCCATTTCCTGAGGATTTACCTGCCTCCACAAAAGGCAGAGTGACGGACTCAGGAAAGGACCCAACAAGCACTTTAGTTTCTTCGTAGGTGTGATTCGGCTTTGAATTGTAAGCGTCCTTTGTTACTTAAACAGAGCAATTTCAAATATCTCTTAGAAGTTCAGAGTATGAGTTTTGTCAGACAGTGGAATCTCAAAAATCAGTTAGCTAATGAGAAGTTTGGGAAACGACCAGCTGTGACAGACTATAAAGTACTCCCTTTTCAGAGAACAACTGTATTTCTGCATTCTGGAAGGCAACCACTCAACAGTGAGTTCTTGGACCCCTGGGGCACTTCTCAGGCACAGCACACACCCACAGGTGTTGGATTTTGTTCGTCTCCAAGGCAGGCACACACACTGACCACTTACACAGAGAGAGAGAGAGAGAGAGAGAGAGAGAGAGCACACTGTGCTAGGGCATTAAGTGAGGACCTGGGGAGTGGGCTGTAATGCCTGGTTACCTGTCTAGCGGTGGGATGCAGCTGGGGCGCTACACTTCCTAGTGGCCCATGCAAAATGGCTATTACAAGCAACCAAAGAAGTCCCAGTGTCCCCCAATAGCCCGGGAGATGCCTAGTGTTTCTATAGGCTGAGACCTGGGAGTACCTTGGTAACATCTGTACAGTAAAAAAAGAAGAGTTTCCCAGGGCCACAACATACCACCAAAATACAATTAGGTAAAATCCATTCTTTGGGCACCAAAGCAGTGCAGTGTGGGCCTGCTTTGCTCGTGACGACCCTAAAGCCTAGCGCTGCAAGGAGATGATGGAGAAAAGAAGGAAGGCAAGTGGCCTTTCAACAGGCGGACGGCTGTGAAGTAAGATATTTCATCTCAAAACACCATTCTGAGAGGAGGGACAAAAAAATGATGTTCTGTGAAGAATCCAAAGGCATTCATAGCCTATCAGATTTTTCACTTGGACCCCTGCGAAAAAAACAAAAGAAGACCTCATTCCTTCCTTCATTCAACAAAAATTCTTGAGTGCCTAGTGGGTGCCAAGCATAGATTTAGGAACTAGGGACTTGTCAGTGAACAAACCCAAGTCTCTGTCCCCATGAAGCTTATGTTCCAGCAGGAGAGAACCAGGAATCGTAAATATGGATGTTATCTATAAAAATGAATATGATGTTGATTACATCTTATATGTAATTGTGCCTTCCTCTGTAAGGGCCAAGCCAACCCTACACACACTCATAAACAACAGAGCATGTTTTTATTCATTAGTAAGAGTTGTTTTAGTTAGAGGGTAGAAGAGAGATGGTGAACTCATCGGTAGATTTAGTCTTGAATAATTTTGTGCTGCCAACACTTTCAAAGCTTAAAAAAAATTATTGGTCTCCATGCAGATGCCCCCTGGAAGCAGGACTGCATAGTAGCAGCAAAGTGACAATACACGAGTGTGACGAAGGCTCCGAGCCGCTGGGATTCTGGGATGCGTTAGGAAGGAGAGATAGGAAAGCCTACGACTGCATGCTTCAAGGTAATACCACATTCCCTAGCGTCCGATCACTCATGTATTCAATACATATTTATTGAGCACCTACTATGTACAACACACAATGAATTAAGCTTAGGCTAGGTCCTCACAGGCCAACAGTCCGATAAGGCTAAATAAGGTGTATTTATAATGCCCAATAAAATTGTATGTATCATAAAAGAGATACAGGTGAAGGAGTTTGAGAGTTTAAAAGAAAAAGCGTTCCTTCCACCAGGAAAAGTCACGCCCAGCTCCACGGAGACACGGCATTTATGTGGAGCCGGAGGTGGGTATGACTTGAGAAGAAGGGAAAAAGAGGAGAAAATTCCAGGAAACCAGATGAGCAATTACAGAGTAGGAACCTATGCAACAGGAGGCCTTCAGTTTGGCCAGCGTCCAGGGTGCAGGGAAGTAGCAGAGTTAAATTAGAGAGTAGGTCGGTTTTGTATTTAAATGCACAAAAGTACAGATCAACTTAAATGCAGATTAACATAAGAAGAAAAGCTAACAATTATTACGCTGTTAGGATGACTCAGGCACTGAACACCTGGTAGACGTTAATTTAATCCTCACAAGCCAACACTCTACCATTTTTACTGTTGAGGCTACTGAGGCACGGAGAAGTTAATCAGCTTGTCTGAGTATGGACAACAATGGCATGGATGTATAACCGCTCCATTTTACCGTCTCGCAATTGTTATAAACTTTCCTATATATATTTTTTAATAATGTATATTGGTGATGGAGAATGTTTGAAAGCACAGAGAAGTTAAAAAAAAATAAGTCACTTTATAATATCACATCTCTCAAAGATAACCAAAAATTAACATTTCTCTATGTTATATATACATATCTATTTTTTAAAATAAAATCTAGCATCATCCATGCCATTTTGTGCCCTGGTTTTTCCCTTTATTATGAACAATTCCCCAAGTTGTTAATAATTTAGACTCTTACTGGCTGCAGGGCACTCCATGAATATTCTATAATAGATGACATTCTCTACTTACCCTGTCTCTTATAGTTGGAGAGCTGAGTTGTTTCCGGTTTTTCTCTATTATATAATAATATAGTTGTGAATCATTTTAAAAATAATAATCTGCATTCATTCCTAGTTAAGGGAAATTCCTAGATATGGAACTGCTGTGTTCACTAGTAAAAGTTTTATAGTCCATATCAAGAAGTGTATCAAGAAAACATTTACACCAAGTTCATTCTCACCAGCAGTATTCAAAAGTGTACATTTCCTAGCACAGACTCATTACATTACCTTTTCCACCACTGCCAAAAATTGATGGGGGAAAATGCTATCTAAGCACTGTTTTCACTCCATGTCTTAAATTAGAAGTACCATTTAACACTTTCTATATGTATTTTTTAGCCATTTGTATTTCTACTTTGGTGAATGTTTTATTTGGACTTTGTGCATATTTTGTTGATCTGCTAAGGATATTAACAAGTTTTCTTATTTCCCAATTTGGCACTTACCTTTTCATTTTATTTGTTGGTTGGTTTTTTTACAATGTAATTTTTCATTTTTATGCTGTTAGTACATCCCTTCCCCTTTGATGACTTCTTTTACAACTATGATTAAAAAGTCCTTCTCTGCCTTCAAGTTCAGATAAACCTTACCTATTTTTTATACTAATTCTTTGATTATTTCATGTTTTACATGAATTCTCCAATCCATTTAATATTTACGTGGGTGAATATTTTGTCTTCAGCTTTGTTCTCTTTTTTTCTTTCCAAGATCCTGGGAATTTTAACTTCACACCCCGCCTGTTCATCCTCAGCAGTTCCTCCGGAGATTTCTCAGCCACAGAATTCATGTATCCTGCCCGAGACCCATCTGTGGTCAATTCTATGCCCTTCCTTCAGGAAGACCTGTATAGTGCACCGCAGCCAGGTACGGCCCTCAGGGCAGTAGTCATGCTAAGCAGCAAAAGATGCACCTTCCAAAAAGCCTTTTTATTTTCCTTTTGCATTTGTTAGGCAATTTTTATTGGTCAAGTATCCTGCCAGAGCTTTTTATATTAGCTCATTTAATCCACACATCAACCCCATAAGAAAAATGACATCAACCACATATTGTAAGACGCTGAGGCTCAGTTACTTAACTTGCCCAAGCATGTCAGTTCAGAATAGGTTGAGCACAACAGTGTCAGGCCTGGTGTGTCTGCTGCTCTCCCAGCCTTCCCTAAGCCTTCTTGCTCCATGGCCCCCACGTGTCTGCCTCTGCTCCAGCCTTCATATTTTCGTTCAAGACAGAAAAGGGTGGGTAGGAAAAAGGGCAGTAATGGCCATGTTCTCCCTTTGATCAGATAAAACAAAAGCTTTCCCTGAAGCCCCCCAGCTGACTTTTACCTACATCCCTTTGGCCAGAGCTCTGTCACATGGCCAGCTGCCAGGGATCCTGGGAAAGCAAGTGCCCAGGAGCAGGAAGTTGGGAGTATCTGCTGAGTTAGGTAAAGAACAGTGTCTGCCATTCCAAGGCTGCGCAGGTCAGGTCTGTTTCCACTTGACCACCACAAGACAGAACCGCTGGACCCTCCTTCTGGTTGGGACAGTCACAGTCACTGGAGACTGGGCTGCGTAGACCCTCCCCCCATGCCTGCAGTCAAGCCTGTGGTCGGCGGTCCCAGCACTCATGGCTTCTCCCCTCTCCCAGCCAGGAACCTCACCTGTCACTGGGTAGGTCACACCTTAAAAGCTTGGCTGGTACACATGTCATACTGTGGGAAATATTAGCAAAGTGTCTTACACAGGAAGGCTGCTACCTACCCTCCTCATCCTTAGGCTCAGGATGGGTTATCAACCTCCCCTGGGCTTTTCAAGCATGTGGTTTTCGCAGAGTTCTAAAATGTATGCTAGGAAAGGATGGGCTGACTAGCAAGTGAGAGCCCCTTTGCCACATGGAGTAAGAGTCAGGCTGATGGTTTGATGTTAAGGCCCGTTTCTCTCTAACAGAACCTCAGACTGCCCTCATCTGTAAAGCAGTCATACATGGGGCATGGACGTCAGTGACCTGTAGAGCAAGCGTGATGTACTCTCCAGTGTTTCACATGCTCTTGAGACATAAGCGGTGCTAACAACCCCTTGGGTGGCATGTGCGTTATCCCTTCCACTCTTAGCACCCTGCCAATGCCCAGGAGGAGGGGCCAAGGAAGAAGGGGCTGGAGGAGAGATGAGGTGAGGGAAGGAAAGGGGCCCACCTCTCCCTGCCTAGAAGTCTTTTCTGATTTAATGTTCAAAGGGCCGAGGTATTATGAAGACCCTCCCTTTGCCCCTGGATTTAACTGCCAAGGGGATTCTCCCACTGACAAAGGCAGCAGGGAGGAAAGGCATCTGTTAGGTTTGGGGAAGAGGGACTTAGAAGCATCCATGAAGCAGCTCTCGATTGTCTGGTCTGTCTTTGCCCTCACAGCACTTTTCCTTGTTGACAATCACCATGAGGTGTATCTCTGGCAAGGCTGGTGGCCCATTGAGAACAAGATCACCGGTTCTGCCCGCATTCGCTGGGCCTCCGACCGAAAGAGCGCCATGGAGACCGTGCTCCAGTACTGCAGAGGTGAGCATCCCCGGGAAGTGGGCTGGAGTGATGGACAGACAAGCCAGGACCCCTCAGCACAGTGAAAAATAACATGTTATACAGACATCATCCATGTGTTGTTATGAACTACCCATAACTTCCGTGTTAAGCATGAAGTCAAGAGATTCAAACAAAGACAGTCCCTGGGCTCTTCCTGGGTCTGCTGACGCTTGCATTCTATGTAACTGCAGGAAAAAATATCAAGAAGCCGCCCCCCAAATCTTACCTGATCCACGCCGGTCTGGAGCCCCTGACGTTCACCAATATGTTTCCCAGTTGGGAGCACAGAGAGGACATCGCTGAAATCACAGAAATGGTGAGCACATCCCCTGTGAAGGTGGCTCCTGCCTTTTGGATAGTGGGTAGCCTTTACCTGGGGGGAGAAGCATCCAGTTGTATTTTCAAAGTGAGAACATGTCTTTTCATTTACAACATGTTAACGAATCCACATCGAATTAGCTTAAGAAGAGAAAAAGCCTAAGGAGAAATCAATCGAAGTATTTTGGTAATTTTCTACACATGGAGCTCAGGTTAAAAATCCTTAAAGCAAAGGTAAAATTAATGATCCATTAAATATCCGTAGATAAAAGCTGTTGTCTCTATATTCTGTTAGCCAAAAATGTATTGCTTCTCAAGATCCATATAAAGCGCAACAAAATCCTCATGTTTCAGACGCTGACCTTGTATTAGAGGAGACACAAAATAACCCCGTGATGAATTAATATGTATAAATAACTAAGTGAATGGCTGCATTGTGAGCCACTGCTGATAAGAAACGGTTCACTATCATGTTAATACTGTCTTTTATGAGACCACCTGGTAATACCACATGAGGCATTTATCAGAATCTCTGTTGCCAGAACATATTATGAACCAGAATGTTATCATTTCCAACTGCCCAGAAAAAAGGAAGCTTCCTACAGCTATGTAGAATTTTTTAATTTATGAGTTTCTAACATTGCTAACAATAGCAATTTCAAGGGTTCTTTCGGTTGTGTGGGAAATAGATTTGTTCTGTTTTGATTTTCTTACTGTGTAGAAGAACTGCTTTTCTTGGGGGTGGCGGGGGTGGAGATGACATGAGTGCATTTTATAGGAGGTCTGAGTCAGTTTAAACAAACAAGAAAGGTTCTCTGCTGCTTAACAACAGAGGGAGCCTGTGTCACAGTGCAAGCATCGCTGCTGAGCCTACCCACTCTCCTTAGCCACATGGACTTGACTTACACAGGGAGGGGCTAAGGCAGCCTGCCGACCAACACAGTGCCTTGAGGGGGCCCTGTTCACAAGAAATGCGTGATCCACGAAACTTCAGAGCTCTAGGGAATCCGGGCACTGTCACTGCAGGCTAAGTTCAAGGATGTAAATCAAGGGCATCTTTCTGTGCACGCTCTCCATCAGCGGGGGCTGAGCAATGTCTTCTGCAGGCCTGTGGGACTCCGGCCAGTGAACAGTCAGGCTTCCCACGCTGACACAGTGTAATAATAATTAACATGCACGGAGCGCTTGCTCTGTGCCAGGCACTGCTCCACTTTACACGGATTTTCCTTTAATTTTCACAACCAGTCATTAAGAGTCACCTTATTATTATCATCCCCGTTTTACCGGTGAAGGAGCCAAGGCCCAGAAATACGAAGTAGCTTGTCCTAGCTCTCAGGCGCAGGCTGGCTCTGAAACCTGCCTCTTGACCGCTAGTCTATAGGGAATATTGCTGCACTGTTAGCCACTCACTACTCCCGCCCACCCAAAGGGAGGGCAGCCAACCTGGGATGCCAACTTTACCAGAGAAAGGTAATTTACTGGAATAATCTATTCAGAGTTAAATGCACGGCGTTTTTTTTAAATCTTGTTTCTGCCCCAGCATATTCTAGATGCGCTTTCTGGCTACATTGTTCTATCATCGATTAAGAAACAAGGGCTTGTGGGGGAAAGGGGGAGTGCAATTCCTTTTAAGGTTAACTATTTTGAAATGCTTTCAAACACATGCTATTATTTGGATGCTTCTGGTGTTTGGACTTCAAATTTAATGTTAGGCCATAATTCACCCACGTGATAATATTCCCTAAATTTTTTTTTTCTGAGGCAGCCCTGAGGATTTGTTTGAAATTTGAGATGGGAAGATATCTAAAGTCAGTAAGGCGTGCTTGAGGGGCTTTGGGCAATTCCTTTCCACTTCAGAGCCCTGTTTCCCCTGGAGCCGGGATCTCCAGGCTGGGGTGGGGCTTGGACAGGGTTGTGTGTTTGCAAGCACAAAATAGAGCATGGTAAGACGTGGGACACAGAGTTTTCTTCTCCTTCTCTAGGACACTGAAGTTTCGAACCAGATCACCCTCGTGGAAGACGTCTTAGCCAAGCTCTGTAAAACCATTTACCCACTGGCTGATCTCCTGGCCAGGCCACTGCCCGAGGGAGTTGACCCTCTGAAGCTTGAGATTTATCTCACTGACGAAGACTTTGAGGTAAGTGTTTTCTTCAGGTGGGATAGCAATGAAGCCACACAGGGGGCCAGCCGATACAGTCCCCTTACTCAGCTCTGGGCATTTCTCCCGATTCTTCCAGTTTGCACTAGACATGACAAGAGAGGAATACAGTGCACTGCCCGCCTGGAAGCAGGTGAACCTGAAGAAAGCAAAAGGTCTGTTCTGAGCGGAGAGATGCTGACAGAAGCTCTGCTGTCACTTTCAATACCATTGGACCAGGAAAATGGATACTTTTTGGACTGGTATTTTTAAAAATATTTTTTAATCAGAGTTTTCAAACCCTGAAGTTATTAGCTTTACTGCTTTGTCCTGGAGTTGTGTATTTTGTAAATGTTTAAGAGAACTCTTCGGGAACTCTCTTTCCACGATTCAGCAGGTAATGTTAATAAAAACATCCGTAGGTGCACTTACGCAGCGGTTCCCAGCAACTGCGAGAGCACTGCCCTCCTGTTCCAGCTAAGCGTTGCCTCATTTTTTAAAGCAGTTCTCTTTATAAAGTGTTATTTTGATAGTTTGTGGATTCTAAAATATATATATATATATATATATTTATATAAACACCATATAAATCAAATATGTATTTAACAAAGCAATATGTATTCATTCACTTTTAAGATTTTTTTTTTTGGTGTCAAAATAATATTAAAAGGTAGATGGAATTAGCTCTGTCACCGATATGTATCTCCACACGTGTTCAGAAACGTCTCCTTCGGCATTAGGTCTGACTTGTTCTGAGTGCTGCTTCCGGTGCTAAAATGAACAAAACATGGTTACTTCCTGGTGTGGAACCTGTGTGAGTCCACCTTTCTACCTTACTATCTCCCTAAAATGTATAGTGCCTTGTTTTTATGTACAGTTTATATACAGAAAAGTTTGCTCTGCATTTTTTTGATGGTGGTTTGGAACATTATCTACAATTTTACTCTAAAATAGTAGAAATAAAAAAAAATCTCAATTTCTAATACCTGTTGTAAACATTAAACATGTCATTTTGCGATCTAGGACTCCAAAATTAAAGCTTCAGAATAAATGCAATAATTAATTGATTGGTTCAATTGAGTTCCCAGCATGTTCCTTTCTGAAAAATATTTTCTATAAATATTAACCTAGCACCAGTATGTCACCATTAAATATTAACTCATCTGTTCATTTAGTTTAGGACAAGATTTTATACATGATCCTAAGACTAAATAAATATTCCACTCATAAAATTACTTCTAAGTACTATGTTGAAGACATATTTTTGCTAATCATCATTCAACAGAAGCTGTTTACCCTACAACTATGTCTACATCTCAAATTCAGGATCTTGGTGCCTTTTTAAAATATTGAATACATAAGGCATTTAGAAAACTTAAAAATGAACCAGAAAACTTCACAGGGTCATATGTCCTTAAAATCCCAAATCCATGGTTTTGAACAAATTCTGTAGACCTACTGTAAGTCCTTACTGTCCCCACTTTGGTTGAAGTTTAATATATTGGATAACAGCACATTTGTCTTAAACGCCATCACTTACTTATGTGGCCCTACCCTGGGACTGTAACCCACTCCTGGTCAAACTACCTTTTGACTGTGTGATATTGGACAGTCACTGAACTGTCTCACCTTAATTTTCTTTCTTTTTTTTTTTAGAAAGCTCTCTTGCCCATATCATAGGGTTGATTCTTAGTGAGGATCAACTGGAAGCCCCTTGAATATTATGAGGTGCTAGGTATACCTCCTGGTGTTAACATTGCTGTTATGGTAGCTGGCATAGGAAAGATGAGAGTTGAAATTAAGGAATGGAGTCACACACCTAGAAATTATAGATTCAACCAAAATGAGTGGAACCGTCCAAAGAAATAAATGTGGAAGGGCAAGGAGACAGAGGGGCTCTGAGTATATGTCCCATAGGTAGTAAGCAATGAGGAAGAGAGAAAGAAGGACTCCTAGAGCCAGTAGGGCAACCAGTGGAGTGTCAAAAAGAGAGACAGGGCTGCATATGTCACTTTTGACAGTTCAGAGAGGTTACCTGGGTCCTTATATGCACAGACAGTCAAATTGGCATAAGAGCTTCCAGTGGAGAGCCTGCTGTAGACAATAGATAAGTAAGACAGGTGTCATCAGCAATATTCATTACCTCGACGTTGTCTCAAAGAACTTTCAAATCACGCATATCTGCTTGTATTAAATATTGTCCCCCAGTGCTTTGGTGTCAGTCTGCTTCTCGCCTCTTCTCTGGAAATACTAGGTTGCCCTGTCTTATGCTGCCAATTCACTTTTTGCCTCTTTTCCTCTGAGTTGTTCCCCACATCACTTTCCTGCTTACAGAACAAGATCCTCTCTTACGCGCATGTGGTTTTTCTGACCCCTTTCCCTTCTTAGCTGCGACTTTGGACCTTTGCATGCTGGGAAAGGCCCCAGCCTAAAAACTTGAGTTGCTGATCTTAACAACTCAGCCAATTATGTTGCACCAATGCTTCAGGCCTTTCTCCAGAGCCACTGTGAAAGCAAAGCACTGTGGTGAACTTTTATTAAGCACAGCAAAGTTGGGTGATTGGTGTTTCCTTAATTTACTGCTTTTGAACTAAAGGACTTTTAAAGAGGGGAACTGATGTTTGGGTTGCGATTGATATCAGAGTTGCAGTGAGATGGACGAGATACTGTGTTTTCCGAGGTTTTGAAGGAAGCCTATGAATATAAGCAGTTCCCAGGGGAGTGGAACCATTGTCCCTATTTCTTCCTCTTGGGCTGTGTCCGGGTCAAGGTCAGGGAAAGCCTACTCAGGAACCTTTGTCTCCTTATCTTAAAACTTCAGCCCCATTCACAGAGCTTCCATTTTGATCAAATGCAGTGCATTTCAGAAACAGCTTCTGAATCCATTGTGGTCCTTTACTTTTGTTGTTTTTTCTTTCTTTCTGATTAAAAAAGTAACACTTCTGTCTACACAGAGGCTTATACACGAATATTAATAGCAGCAGCACTCATAATAGCCCACACCTGTAAAGAACCCACTTGTCTGTGGACTGAGAATTGGATAAACAAAATGTGGTGCATCTATTCTCTACAACGGAATACTATCCAACAATTAAGGGAACAAACTACTGATAACACTGCAACATGAATAACCCTCAAAAAGTGAAAGATGCCAAATACAAAAGGCCATGTATTGTTAGATTTCATTTACAGTCGTTCCCCCCTTATCCACGGTTTTGCTTTCTGTGGCTTCAGCCACCATAGTCAACTGTGGTCTGAATATATTAAGTAGAAAATTCCTGAAATAAGAAATTCATAAGTTTTAAATTGTGTACAGTTCTGAGTAGTGGGATGATATAGTGTGCTGTCCTGCTGTGTCCTGCATAGGACCTGACTCTTACCTTTGTCCAGTGTCTCTGGGCTGTACACTCTCCCCACCATTAGGCACTTAGCAACCTTCTCCCTTATCAGATCAGTTATCAGAGAGAGAACCACATTCACATAACTGTTATTACAGTATATTGTTACAATTGTTCTATTAGTTATTGTTAATCTCTTACTGTGCCTAATTTATAAATTAAACTTTATCATAGATACCCATGTATAGGATAAAACATAGTATATGTGGGTTTGGTACTATCCGCGGTTTCAGACACTGACTGGGGGTGTTGGCCCATAGATAAGAGGGCACTGCTGTGTATGAAATTTCCACAAAAGGCAAATCGATTCAGACAGAAAGCAGATCAGTGGTGGCTGGACATGAAGGTGGCAGTGAAGGTTCAACTGCAAATAACAAGAGTGAACCTTGTGGGCCGGCCCAGTGGCTCAGTTGGTTAAGAGCTCGCTCAAGAGTTTGAGCTCTGAGCAACAGCGGTTCGAGTCCAGCCCGAGCTGAGCAGCCGCTG